TATATTACTATTTTGTATTTATTTTAATTACTTCTACTATTTAAATCCCTTTAATATCCGATTTTACCTGAAATATATCATCTAAAAGCTTTTCATACTTCTGAGATGTTCTTGAAATAAATTTCTCTTTATATTTTTAATATAATTTAATTTTTTCTTTATTTTTGTTGTTGTTGCTATGTTAGTATTTTTGTAATCTTTCTTTAATATGTCTTAAAGTCTGTCCTCTTCATCCTTTGGCTCATTCAATTTCAAGTTTTACATATTTTTACAACCGCAAAACAATCAGGCAGCATTTCCACGCCACATAACACGAATATTTTATGATAAAAAGGAGTGCTGACTTTTGCTACTGCTTCTGCTTCTTCTTCCCCTTATTCTTTTTCTTAGTGCTCCATTCAACTCTGGTGTGGTATACACCACGCCCTAACCAAATCAATTCCACAAATCAACATAATCAACTTCTCGCCGTAAGACCACACATAATGCACTTGCACTGAATTTTCTTTTCTTTTGCTTTGCCAAAAGAAAATAAGTGCCGTAAAAAAATGTAAAAACTTTTTTTTTATAGTTGTTGGTGCTGCATAAAAAAAATGTAAAATAAAATGCGGCGAAATGGCTGCAAAACTCTAAAGGTACAACAAAAGAGAATGACTCTAAGAAACGGGTCAACAAAGGGCACGCCAGCTGGGCAGGAGACCAGAGCTCCTGATAATGACATTAGACATTTGCTGGTCCAACCTCAAAATCCAAATCAAAATCCATGATCTAATTTGATGAAACCTACAAAAGATTTTCCTACATCTGGTATCACTTACCTGAATATACCCAATAGACAGAGCGAGGAAGAGAGAGAGCAGGAGGAGGAGAAGGAGTTGGAAGCATTACAAATAGCTGGCGAAAAAGGAATGCAGAAATTCTCAAAAGCAAAACAAAGAAGAAATTGTTTTCGCTTAAAAGAACATTCAAATGGAAATGTTCTGCTTGGCTCAACACAAACAACAAGTGCAGGCAAACAAACTGCATTTATTTAGTTAACAAAAAAAAAAGAAGCAAAAAAGAAAAATATACAGTAAAGAAAAGAATACACCATTTGAGTAGCTCGATAGAACGTCAGACATACAGACAATGCATAAAAGTGAAGTGCGCCCTGGCGCACTGTGGAGGTGCAGCAAGTGGAATACAAGTGCCCTCAAAGACTCACAGGTAGATTGACGTACTCTGAATACTCTGCAATTATATGTATATGTAAAAAATTGGTAAAGCGGATTGAGCAGTGAGCAAAGTGGAATAAAAAGTATTAAGAGCGATTATTTACTATTGTGGATCATTGAATATCTGAATGACCTTTAGACGCTTGAAAATTTAAATCCACGAATCTTACATTTGTGATCCCTGAATCTACAATTTGAGTTTCTGCAGTTATGTTAGAAATAAAGAGAATGTCTAAAGGGCCAACTTCTAATTAGAAATCTTGTAGAGTGAATACCCTCCTATATGAAAATGAGTTATTTATAATTTTAAGCCGAAGGCCCCTGCTGCCAGTGCTTTGCCTTTAGTTTGATTTTATTTTATATTTTATAATTTCTGTATTTTAGCTATCAGTGTTGTAAAATTATGCTATATACTTAATAATCTTCAACATTGCCAGAGTTCTTTGAATCACTCACATTATATTAAATCACAGAAATGTTAGATTGGGTTAAAGATATACAAAAATGAACTTGCTAAGCTCTCAGGAAATAATAAGCGATCTCTTTAGATAGAGCTTAAATATCCCTGTCAAAATGTTAATTTTTCTTTATACTTCAGCTATAGTAAACTTCATAGATTAACCCATATACCTCCTCAGCACACTCTTATGTTTTATAGTGTATGTTTGGAAAAGAAAAAAGTGTAGCATAAAAAGCAGCGTCGCCGTCGTCGTCGTCGCCTGGCGCACTTTGTTGCCTTCTGGCTGTCAGATTGATATTAAATTATATACCTTATTATCATTTCGCTGCTCCTGCTGCTGCTGCTGCAGTTACTATGCTATCAAGTAACACATGTGGGCGTGGCAGTAGCTAAAGCCATGTTTATTTACAGCTGGCAACAATTGTTGCTGCATTGTCGAACGAATGCACTTCGCGGTGTTCGCAACTCAAGTCAAAGTCAACACAACATACACACATACACCCACACACACACACACAGGCAAGAAGACACTTCACATGTGGCTGCTGCTTGGTTGCATTTGTTGTGTAAATTGTTGTTATTTTTCAACAGGCAAACAACAACAACAACAACAATAACAGACAACAACAGGAGCTACGTCCTCATAATATGCTTGATGGCTGCGCGCGCCCAAGTGACATTAAATGGCTGCCATTCGGTTTGAGTTTGAGCTGCAGTTGGGTTTTGGCTAAGGGTTTCAGCATCGCCTGGCTGCGCACATAAAAGTGGCTCAAGTGGCCGGCAGTGGCTTTAAGGCCAAAGCTGAAAGCATTTTAAAGCCCAATATAAAACAGCTATAGATATATGTATATATACATATATATATTTAGTTATTTACGTTTATGCACGCTTTTACAATGGTTATCAAAATAAATTGGAAATAACGTATCTGCCCGATATCATATAAATGGGATTAAAGCTTTGATTATTTTTGTATTTTATTTGCAGTTTGTTTATGGCCAGAAGACAGAAGAAGAAGCTGCCATTTAAGCCTTTAAAAAATCCTTTATTGTAAATAGTTGATATGCTTAGCTATAACTTGATATAGTCTGCGAGCATGTTAATTCCTGCTCGGCAACCAAAAATGCGACCGCTAATTAACAAATTGATTTATGGAAATTAAAATGACAAATCTCTAGGGGGGATCTACATAGATCAGGGGCTAAAAATAAAACTCATATGCAAATTTCAACAGAAAGCTGCAACCCTTCAGAGTTGGCCAAAAACTTGACTTGGCTTTTGCACATAATCCTCCACCAGTGCGCGATGCTTACAGACATTTAATTAAGGTGTCTTCATGGCAACAACAATAACAACAACAACAACTAGCTGATTCGAGTGGTAAATGAGTCTAATTAATAACGAAGCATTTGCCACATAATTCATGCGAATTGCCATTGCTGATGAGGCTGCTATTCAAAACTTTTGGTTACTGTTTGTGGTTTGAGTAATCATTTTTAAAGCCGTCTGTCAGCTTGTCCAAATTGAGTTGGGCATTCGGCATTGCGGATTTGTTGTAGCTGTAGCATTTTTCCACTTTTGGCCACATTTGGTCAGGCAGGCTCTCTCCATGCTTATTTTCCCGATTTTTCTTGTGTTTAGCCATTTTTGGTGCTCGGCTGATGACTTAAGTCCGGCTGTCTGGCCAGCGTAAATTTATGGCCTAGACGATATGCTTTTCCGTTTTTTGTCGGTTTTTTGTTTTCATCTGGTCTGTAATTTATGCAAATTGTTGCGAGGCAAGCGCAATTAATTGTTCTGGGCGGCAGTTCAATCATATCCTTATTCCCATAGGTCTTCGTCTGTGATGTGATGTGATGTGTGCTCGTCTATTGTTTTCTTACGCTCTTTCAGACAATGTCTTTTGTTGTCTTTGGGGTTTCATTATAATCGAATTTGGGCGATAAACTTTACAATGTCCGTTTCCTTGACTCGTAATTTACATTTCCAGGGCAGGTTTTTGGCCGTAACCAAAACTAAATAAACATTTTTGTGTGACCAGCCCGAACGATGGCAGGAGCAGCAACAAAACATCAAAAGCATATAATTTATGGTTCGTTAGGTCAAGGATTCTGAATGAGCAGCAGCAGCAGCAGCAGGAGTAGCCCGTCAGCAAGTCAAGAGAGAAACACGCCTTGGCTTTGTCCTTTATCTGCCCCAGGG